TGACGCGGAGAGAGGTTTCGTAATGGCAATGGTTTTGTGATTAGTATAGGTGAAATTGAATATGTAATATTTATACAAAATACATCTGTGACGTGAAATTCCATGCCTGAAAAATCAATGGTTTTTGATATTTTCTTGTTTTGTTTTGATTTCTCAGGAGTACCTCATATTCGCTCTTGGTTAGTATCGGGTTGACGGAATAAAGATAAGGAACCCTTAGTTATCTATGCAGATATTGGTTCATGTTTTACAAAGTAATTTTTGCTTAGAACAATATGTAATTGATTCAGACACTTCAACAGAAGTCACAAAAACTTATTTTCTTATTCAAATATATTTGAACATATATATTTAAAAACTCTGTATATTAATTAAACAATCATGCATCGAGAAAAGTTAACATATATCCTTTGAGATATGTTACCATTTGCTAATAATGCCACCAGACTTGTAAACACATTAGATACAGTGAGAACCAATGACGGTCGGAATAAAATAAGGCACGGTTTTAGGTTTCACTCTATGCTTTCTACGGTGCATTTAGATGTGGGTAATGGCTTCGCCCATGCCTTTTAGCATTTGCGTGACATCCCAAGAGATCCAGATAGAGATATTCATGAACAAGCACTGGGCAATGCTAGCATACATGCATATTCAAGCCATGTGCACTGTTTGAAGGATGTACAAATGGTCCAACACACAAGGCGGCTGAAAAAAAAAAAAAAAAAAAAAAAAAAAACAGGGACAGGCAGTCAGACGGGAACCGTAACATGTTTGAAGCAGTTGACAGTAACGAAGAGTCTGCATCCTAAAGCACCTGTATTGGACTTCTAAGTTTATCACATTTGCAAAATTGCTAAGATTCTGTGTAAGGTCATCGTTCTAACGGCAATCTTGTTATGCAATTTTTTAAGCAACTATATAAACTGATATCCAAATAGGCTTTATTGTGTCTTTATTGTCTTTCATTGCCCCGTGTAGCGTACAAACTTGCTAGGAGAGAAATGGTGAAACAAGTTGCTTTGAAACTCCGAGTACGATGTAATGCTCCGAGATCTAGCGGATTCAAGAACTTTAGAAATCCCGGAAATTAGTGAATGGGATTGTTAACCATTGCTTTGATGTGGTTTAAAATACATTACTTGGAGCATTCATTTCATTCTTTTATTGACACTTTTTTATGTTCTCTTTGCATTATTCTATTCGAGTTCGTTTCCTGAGATTGAGTATCTCTTTGCGTCTCATGGGTCCGATCTGCACCGGTTCCAAAATTTAATTAGCGTCTAGCTGTCGGGCAACGGTCAATCAATTAGATCATTTCCATAGTTCAAACTATGTTTCTGTCACTCCGGGGAAACTTGGTAATTGGTAACTGCCTGTAAGCATTAGGAACACAGCAAATCTTATCGCGCAGGTTGATTGAATTGTTCAAAGATACCAGTACGAAATCTTTGGGTGACACAGCGACTGCGCGTGTTCTTAAAGGTCACGTGCATGTAGATGAGACGTTTGTTAGGAAGAGTGATCGAATTAGCCAAAATGAGAGAGTGATTGGGCTATGATTGAAAGTGGTTCTACCTAACACGCGAGAGAGTGAATGGCCCCAGGTGAAGATAAGTAAGAATAATTTGCCATCGTTAACTTATCAAGTTTCCGTCCCTAGGATTAAGAAAACGATTTGTGGACTTTTTTCAAATGCCCTCAAAGTCCTCACTAGAACCTGCACATAACGTGATTTATGTTTAAATCAATAAATTCCCTTTCACTTCGGAGTCCAGGGTAGCCATTACTTCGTCATCTGACAGCTCAAAGTTCAATCAATCACGATATTGTGTATTCTGCATCCCGTTTTATACATTACTTTATAACTCGACATTTGATCAATCAGCTGCTCAATACTGCCCAGTTTGCAATGTCTCTGGTCTTCTTATGATTTATACACTTAATTTGGATAGGGTCCCATACGTGTGATTATGGACTTGAGCCGAAGTGGGCAGTTTGTTGGTCCGCTTTCCACATTGATCGGCTAAGGTCTGGCTTTAACATATTTGCACCTAGAGAAAATTGTAGGAAATTAGTCAGAAATATAAAAATGCACGCGTCCAGTTCCTTCATACCAATAACATCGAGTATGTGTCTTTCTCTTCCTGAATGTTTCCATTCCCTTTCCAATTGTCCGTTTTTACCTAAACATTCTGTCGACTTCCTTATTAGTTGGTAGCCTATCAATTTATACACATATCGTTTTATAAGTGATAGCTATACTATCCTATGTCCAACATGATGGACGTGCCAGAACTCTCTTGTCTGTGCTGTCTATCCGTACAGTAATTCCTGCGTTATTGTCGATATGGCTAATACCATATTTGATGAACAGTGATATTTGCACTGATATCGCAGTAGTAGTTTCCATTGGCAATGTAATAAATCTATATTACTTCGCACAGAGAGACGCCCAGTGTACTTTATAATCACTGAAAACCATGGCAATAGGATATTGCAGGAAATTGTCTGGGTTCGGCATCCATTAGTTTTGTAAGCGCTAGAGTAAATTTTACCGGTGCGTGCATTTTTCTTTCTGTTATTCAGTATTGTAAGCGCAGATTCATTCTATGGAGGGAAAAGGTCGAAAAACGGTTGTTAAAGTTGTGGGATGGGAGGGGTAGTGTGAAGTGGCAGACAGACCCCCATGATAGAGAGTCCGGTTCTTATTAAATTGCACAGGTAAGCCCCCCCTTGGTGTTTGACCCACTTACGTCAGACTAACCCTAAGCTGTATAATAAAATGGAGAGTGGACTCTCTGTTACACGGACCCTCAGTTTCGTCACACCTGGTATTTTTTATTTTTATTTTAAGTAAAAAGGTGCATGTGCAGTTCTATGCAAGGTGAATAAAAATCTGAAGGAAACATATTTAGATAGAGAGACAAAGTAGGGCAAAGTATTTTAACATTGGCAGGTAAATCAGTATAACTTGCTGATCCATCCATCTTTTCTTGCTTTTATTACTTTGATCTGTTTAAGAACATGAATCAATCTTAGAAACCGATAGTTTGTCTATTTGCGGTAAAAAAAACATGCAAGTTTTGCTTGCGAAACAACTTGTTATCGAATTTGAACGGAAATGTTTTTGCTGACGGAAACAAATCGGAATAAAAACGACGGTTAACTAAACACGCGAGGAAGAAATCACTAGCTTGGTGCCTTGAGAAAGTTAACCTGAGATACCTGCGTTGGGGACGACAACTCTTTTTCCGCTTCCGACGGGTACACGGCTAATAAGGAAATTGATAGATTGTTTTAGAAAGGCCGGATATCACTCTCTGTTCGAGTTGAATGCTTCCAGGAAAATAGCCCGCGGGGAGTAATACATTGAATTTGTCTTGTTATATCTGTAGGAGTCAGAAAACCACTACAGTTTAACTTTACAAGATATAAAGACGTTATCTAAGCTAGCGGGCGCTACGGGACAGTAGCAGTTGGCTTTTCAAGAATACTTAAAATTCTCTACGCGATATTGAGTGACCTGGCTAATGAAAAAAAAACCTCGGATACAAGAAGCTCGTCTTTACTTTAAATAATTTCTCCGATAACATGTTAATTGAATGTTAAACAAACCACGAGGGCCTACACGCAGGTTATAAAAGCAATTTGTAAGTGTCGCGAGCACGTGCTGCCCAACGTGCAACTTGCCAAGCATATTAAAATAAATATTTCAAGGTGCATCCACGAACATTTTGCAGATTTCCCGTGTCTTACCAGCTTCAGCATTGTTGACCAGCAAATTCCAAAATGCGGAATAGAAAAATTCTATCAGTAACATTTGCGTATACTGTTTCAGTAATAAGTAATAAAGGCGAATAATTTGAGTTGAAGTGAAAGGTTTTATCACTATATTCACTTCAGTGCGAAATCTTCCACCGACTTCTTTGATGGTGAAAAACGGTGATGATTTGTTTTGGACCAAACGAAATCCAAACTCACTACAGGAGCCATTTTTCACGAAATATTCGAAAGTTTGCACGAAATGGTCGAAAGTTTGCACGAAATGGTCGAAAAGAGAACGTTAACATTGGGTATTCTACCAAAAGATATTTCTTTTCTTTCTTTCTTTTTGTAAATGAACAGATTTTCTTTCCAGATAGACTGTTTTGTCTTAGGGTTAACCTAACTGTTACGTGCATTGTGTTTACTTGCACTTCTGCAAGACACAGATATTTAGCACAGTGATAATTCCATCACTTATAACGCATATAGCAGAAATATACATGTGTAATGTTAGATTTTGTCATCAAAAGAATAAGACGCACCAAAAAACAGGAAGCCTTTACAAAAGAGGTAATATATCAAAAGGTTGAAGCAATACAATATCGTTTTGAAAAGTATGTGGCGCATGCAATAAGAGATATTGTGTATGGAAAGTATGATAAAGGTGTGGAATTGTGGTTTGATATAACGATTGTTAAAAGAAAAAAAGAGAGTCAAAAAGGTCGTTTCAAAATGAATAAAATTATGTGGAAGAAAAAAACTGTTATATAAACGTTGAAAGATACCAGCACAGGGAAAATTATACAGGAAATAATTGGAAAAAGAAGTTAATTTTACCCAAAAATTACTTCTCGCTACTTGACGATAAAAAAAAAACATTGTCGCACATGCAATCTCTACACAACATAGCATGCCATTTTCTTGACCTTTTCGCTCTCTTACATCAATCTGCGCTAACGATGTTATTATTAGTGATGCAAAAACCCTTTCACGCAACCAGTAGGATCTGAGTGGGCATTCGATCAAAATTAAATTGCGTCAGAGATACTTAGTTCTTCTTTAATGAGAAAGGACAGTCTCACGAGATGATTACACCACTGGTAGTTTATTATATCCAACTGTAGCGACAATGCGCAGTCTCTTTTTTTGATAAATATTTTTATGAATTTTATAAAAAGTTAAAATGGTGAGAGGCATGCCTTTTTAATTTTCAAATTTTTAATTTCTTACAGTTTACCAAAGACTCCATATCGGAACTGGAGAAGATTCCAGGGCGTGTGATGGTCATCGCATGTGACGGTCTTAATGGCCAAGCGGCACGGACGCTGGGTCTCAGAGAAGAGTGGACCCAGCAATCGTGCAAATATTACGGCGCTGTAGCGGGCATTGAACGTACTGACCAAAGACCTGTCCCTTCTCCCGAAATCAGGGTTCATGGTCTGACCTTTGACCTTTCTGCCTTTTATGGCAAAGACTTCAAAGTCGATGAAAAATGCGGCTTCAGCCTTAAAATATTCGGGAGTGATCGGCAGCGCTACATGTCCCTGGCAGTGCCTAAATGTGATTCTAATCTCATCAAGGCGCTAAAGGTGGCGCTTGACCATTCTGTAAGTATATACATGCGTGTGTGCAGCTGGTCTACGGTATCATTCAAGTTTATAGACCATAAACTAACAGCTTTTCTACAGTATCTTCCTCTCCCTCCTCTTCCTCATCCTGCAACCTTTGCCGTTGCCCAGAATAGCAGTAGCAGCAGCGTATGCTCAGACCCCTTTTTGCATCTGTCTCGTTAGTCCTGGTATCCTGGCAGACCACTACCATTCATTCCTGATCTCGTTTTTAGGATTGACCCCTTCCACATTTACCTTGAAGACCATTATTTCATGAAATACACGTATATAACACATCGGCAACCCATATTCCCCATTAGGCATGCTCCCGGCCTATCCAGACAAAGAGACATTGGTAGAAAGAACAGAAGCATTATTATAAGAATCAGCCTTTTTTTTTGCTAAAATTAGGGTACTTAAGGCCCAGGAGTGGAAGAGATCCCTTGCTGTTGCCAAAATTCTGAGTGACCTCATGTTTGAAATAAGGACCCCCCCACACACACACACACACTCACAAAAAAAAAAAAAAAAAAAAAAAAAAAAAAGAAAAAAAGTCGAAAATCGTTCATCGCGATAGGCTAAAACCGTGCCTCAGTAATGATGTTCCAGAGTGGGCGAATATTCTCACGACACATCCCGATAATTATCTTATTTTTGACACTCTTTTCATTTCCAGGAAGAGCAACATCACAGAACCTGATGATTTTATCAGTGTTTGTCAAATGAATTCGTGTTATCAAAAAATCAATCATTTTCATTTTTAGATAATGCGAAACATATTCAAGGAGTGCTTCAATACTTACAAAACAGACACGGAAAGCAAAATCACTGATCTCCAAGCACTGAAGAAGCTTAAATTCAGTCCGCGTTTGTTCGAAATCAAACTCTGTTGGAGGCGAGAGACTGTGATGTACTTAGAAGATGAAGACATCGTTGTGACATGCGAAGGTGATGCAGCCAGGACGTTAAATTTCCACTCAGGTAGGTCCCCCACCCCCACCATCACACCCACCCCCACCCACACCCCACACCACCATCATTCTACTGATCGGACAGAGAAGATAATAATAATAATAATAATAATCAGGGGCGGATTTAGGGCGTCTTCTGGGTCTTCCGGAAGACGGTCAGATTTTCAAGTTTACATTGACGGGTATCTAATTATTTCTGTCGGAAGACGGTCAAAAAATGGAGGATGGATCAACAAAGATAATTTGGAAGACTGTCAGAAAATAACTCTGGATCCGCCCCTGATAATAGTAACACGCATGATGTAATTTGACGTCATGTGACGTTATTTAAGTTTTTGTATGTTTTTCATAGATGAGTTCCGAAAAACAAAGTTGTTGTTGTTGTTGTAAAGATGAAACAACCTTACTGTGATTTTCTTGGGCCTCCGTGAAACAATTTTCACTTTTAATTTCCATTAACGTGCGGTTTTGTTGAAAAGGTCAAAAACTAAAGGAAAGATAATTACCCCAATTAATCTCACGTTGTGATAATTATGTACTCTTAGTCTAATGCGTGTTAACCCCGCCATTATAACGCTTCTAACATGATTTGATTTCATTCCAGTTGTTTTATCTCTCTTTGTATTCATATGTAATTATAAATGGTGGAAAACACCCATATTTTAATATCATCCAGATCTATGTTTTATTCCCTGTTTTCGAAATCTAAAGATGGAAACACAAAATGAGGAAAAACTAGAAATGAAAGTGAAGCAAAGAAAGAAAGGGAAATTTGAACTGTGATGTAGACTTTCCTCTTTATTTTCACTTAGTAAAGTCTACGGTTTGTCTTTCCAAAAAATTCATCCGTCCATGTCTTCGAAAATGGAAAACAGCGACATATTTAAGTTTATTTATTTATTTATTTATTCACATTTTAGGTCTGGATGTGAACCTTTCTATACGCGGGCTGGAGTCTTTGACGTCTTTCATTCATTCCACGGCAACAGCAAACAATAACATGAAATCCCTCATAGAGGCCATGACGCTAAGGGCAACACATGCAAGAAAAATATCAGAACATTTTCAGCGATATGGAATTGCAGAGACGATGGAATTATAGAAAGGCCGTGATCCCATTGAATATCATCAGTGATCACGCTAACGTTCTGTTTAATTTCCCCGCTGGAAGATATTCGAACATGTTTCATAGAAAATATTATTGCAGGCCACAAACTCGAGGGGTTTGTGTCGTGAGTGCATGGTGAATTCCAACAAATGAATCAGGAATTTTTTTGTCGTTTTCTTAAAACCAACTTCAAGTTAAGTATACCGTCATGAAGTTGTAGTTGTTGATTTGACTAGAAAAGACTGCGTCTAATACAGGTCCGATAGATGCGGACCGAGGAGTACTTTGCAACCACGCCCTTTAAATGTCTACATTTTAATTTAATTCACATTTAAGCAGCGTGGCTACCCATAGACTTAACTTACTATGTGGCGCCTTTTTGTATACAGTCTTTTTTTGACTAATTAAAAAGACAATGAATGTTTCAGATAGCACAGACTAAAACCTCTGTAATCAAGGATCGCTAGGAAATACTTATTATAAATGTACCGGTATTATCTCACCATTTTTATCGTTTTTGATGCTAGTCAGTTTTCAAGGCATTTTTATAATCATTGAATAAATGTCGTTACGGATTTTCATGTTTTATATTATTTACCTGGCGTATTATTTACCAGACGCAGTTAGATGATCATTTAACACAGTACCTTGATTTAAACAAAGAGACGAAAGTTTATCGAATTAAAATTTAATGCTCATATGTACATGTATGTGTTTTGGACTTTTCTATTTTCAAACTGTCAGACGTGAGCTTGTTTAAAGCGGTATATAACACCTGCAATAACAGGTTACACATGTTATAGCTTTTGGATATAAGTGACTCATCAAGATCAAGTGTCAAATGAGAAACAGACCTCGGCTAAATCCGGAACGGTGGCGATAATAGCCGAGGTTAGTGGAGTGGTGAATTGGTGTCAGCGTGACCCGAGCAATCGTTTATAGCTAGGCACAAAATCAAGATATGTGCAAGTATTGATCAACATTTATGTTTCCATATTTCACAAAACTTTCTCTACGGAGATTCATTGTAGATGCCATTTTTGATATTGACCTCAGATGTATTACAACATAAGAATTAGTTGTTTTTTTTTACACATACTGATAATAATTATATGATAGAGTTTTAGTAAACTTGTACGGGAAGAATAAAACTATATAACTATTGTTCTCGATGTATTTTATAATTTTTCTTAGAGAGAGAGAGAGAGAGAGAGAGAGTGATTTGAAGTCACCCGGAAAAAGATGGGCGTAATCAAGATAAGCGCTCACCTAGATTGAATTCAAATGATGAATTATTTTACTCGTTTCACCGGCATATTATTTCCCGTCATTTCTAAAACAGACCTGGGTTTGCAGTGATCTTCAAGAGCCGAACCTGTACGTACTACTCGTGATCATTCCTGTAAATAAATATTTACATTCCCTCAATTAATTTCCTAAAACGGGATTTATTGCATAGGCAATTTCCCCGACCATGTATCTATTTCAACGTCAATTTCCTGCTTGGCCGATCACATCGATCCGCGTCCTGAGAAAAACGGTTGATGTTCATCGGTTTGATGATCACACTTTTATGAAAAAAAATGTAAAACAATACATACGCTTTCAGTTATGATTGCAAGGGGAATTATCCCTTGGAAAGCTTTTAGAAAAAAGTATTTATTCTTATGCTATTAATTTCACGATGATCTTGTGAATACTTTTACCATCATTTAAAGCTGATAGATTTACTGAGACTGAAATGTAAATTGATGGAAAGAACAGTACAAAACTACTTGATTTACTGAGACTTCAATGTAAATGTGATAGATAGAGCAGTACATAGCCGGATAAGTTTTTTGTCTGGCGGAATGGAAAACACTTTGCCCCCTCATACGTGCCCCCTTTTCAATACCAGTCTTACTGATCGAAACGAATTTAAAAACGCCCTTACTGATGCACCAAATGATGGGGTGCGAAATCACTCGAGATAGGCGTGATTGATGAAGTTCTAAACCTTAATGAGAAACGAACACGTAAAGAGCGTGTTATTAGAGACACAATCACTCTGTGCGGGTCACCCAAGTCTCTGTTAAATAGCCCAATATTCTATACAGCATTATCGGGAAAAAAAGAGAAGAAAAAGAGAAACACCAATACCGTGTATTTCAGGTAATTCATGTCGTTGACTGCTCGTGTTAAACCGGAAACCTACAATCTCACCCTTTCGTTTGATCAGTATTACAGAAAAAGGGGAAACAAAATGTCTTGAGACTATAACGACCAGGTGCTTTGCAAAATGATGCTCCCTTTGGGGAAAGCATTTACTTAATGTTAAATATCATTCAGATAAGTTGCAGTTCTGGTTTCTGTTGTTCTATTTTCATCAGGCAGATAGCGGTAGTATTTATATTACCGTCAACGATCTCTTTTTTTTTTTTCCTGGGCCAAATTTAGTGCTTCGCTTCTCCAGTAGTCACACCCGATTTGATTATTTATTTATTTATTTTATTTATTTATTTATTGTTATTTTTTAAAAAACGTTAGATTTGTAGCACTTAGAAGTATATGAAGCATGATTGTGGGTGAATATTTTCGTTTTTCTCATTTTTGTAGAACTTCCTTTAATTAATTTCCTAATAAATTAATTATTCCTTCAATTAATTAAAAGAGGGCCGAATCTGCTTTCTCGCGTGTCGGCGGATGAGACTTACAAAAAGTGGTGTGGGGTTCTAAACAGAAATTATCGATATAATCACTCATTTCCAAGTCTTCAATTCTTCGCTGACATTTACCATAAAGAATGAAAATGTTTCGGGATAAGTCTGAGCAAAGATTGAAGAAATACGCAACTTTTTTCGAGAGCATCCAATATTGCCTTTTAAAGATCCAAACAAAACGTATTCTAGGCAATAAATTCGCCCACGTGAAAGAAATTACTCGCACATTTATTTTAGCCAATGTCATTTGTTATTCTATGCAGGAAATAATTTTAGATCGAGATTTATAGTTAACTAGATAATTTTGGTCAATTTTTTCCCCCACACAAACAGATATTTCACTGTAGATGCTGGCTCCTAAAATGTCATTACCATTAAAACAAAGAACAATTATGTTCGGACCTAGCTTTAGCAGAATGGTAATGACCTCTGCTTGCAATATATTAGAAGAAGATTAAATCTACAGACTTTACAGTTACATGACTGTGTCGCAGGTAAAAATGATCTGTTCATTGATTTTTGTTGTTCGGCGTTATTCAACATATACATTAACCAGACATATACAAGTAACGGATCGAAGGATAAAAATTATTAAAATGAATAATAAAGAAGATATAAAACGGGTGTAAAAAGTTGCTTGTGGGGCAAAATAATAGCATTAGGAAGCGACATGAAAGGCAAACAATTTGATTACCGGTCACGGTCACGTGGTACATATAGTTTTTTCCGCGTGTAAAAACATGAGTATGTACTAAAAGATGCACTTTACTAAAAAAAAAAAGGTGCTCACTATCGCTCGGCATGCCACCGTGTATATCAAGTGCGTGGTGAGTGCATGCAAATTTAAAGAGAAATCGTACGTGTACGTGTTTCCCACCCAAAGTCCAAAATTTCGAATAGAATACGCTGATATATAATACATAGTAATGGGCCGTTTCAGTACAATACTTTCTTTTGAGCCTCTTGATGTCTCTAACTGTGATGGAGATGCCTCAATGTCACTATCGCGAATCCTGAAGTGTAGTTTTCATTTTAACGAGTACTCAAGTGGAGCGATATGTCATACAACCCTTATCACAATATTCAGTGAGACTTTGACGCCTTTGCAATCGATTTGGCGTGGGTAAGGTATTACAATTATCAAACTAGAGTTTCAAGCGGGACACCCGACAGTAACTGGGATCTCTCTTCCATTATCAGTGACGGCAGACATGTCGATGATACAGGCAGGTTTCCAGAAACCAGTGAAATTCAGAACAGAGCAAGAGCGGGTTTAACAGCACTGCGATATTTACGATTCAAACTTTAGAAGTATCATCTGAACAACTTATTACCAACTTTTGTCTGCATTGCCTTCACGTTTTCCCGCAATATCGTTATTTGTCTCTGTCAAGTTTGCTTAATAGGTCGGGACTAATAAACGTTTGCTTCCCGTCTGGTTTTGCTCGCAAGTCTTTAAAAAATAAAAATAGCATTCTCCTTAATCTCACTTATACGTCTCATAACTCCTTAGAGACCATGTTAAAGATTTTGAAACCCCATGTTCAGGAAGTATTAGTGCAGTGTTTGAATTCCTTGCCACTAGAGATACTCCAAAGATCCATAACAGCTGTTTTTAGTCCGCCTTTTGCGCTTCTGATGTTCGCAATTTTTGATGCGAAATCATAGGGGAGCTTTATTTTCTCACGTCTTGCAAATACATCCGATTGGCAGACAGAACGTTACTTATCACCGTCTGGACACTGAATGATGAAAATTCAGTGCCTTACCTCGATTTGGCTAACGTTACAGCTCGGATAGTAACGAAGAACAATCACTTTGAAAAGAAAGGAAAATCACAAACACAAACATCTTTCTTTACAATCTTTTTACTTTTTCTTAGCTTAGTTTGTACATGAAATACCGACATTTCACAATAACAGTTTATTTCGATTTTTCCATATGCTCTATTTTCCTTCCGCCTCCTTCTCCTTGGCTCTCTTCTCTCTGATACCAAACAGACGCTTGTTGGCACGTGCCTGCCTGAGGGCCGTGTAAGCACTGTACTTCCTCTCTTCCTCGCTGATGGCGCGGGCCTTCTCCTTCTTGGGGACAGCGATGATGGGCATGACCTCTCCAGAAAGCTGAGTGGCCATCTTGAGCTCTTCGGGCTGAAAAAGATCAATTAACAGGCAATATTAATATCAAGCCACATTTGTTTTCAGTCATAATAGCATAATCCAAATGACACATAAAGCTTCAGCAAAAAATCACTCTTATTTGGAACCCCAAGTAATCACCAGATGAGAAAACTACTCGACATGATACTTGAAATCCCAAAGTCACAGTATTTTGATATAAACAGGTTGCAGGCATGAACATATTGTTTTTTTAGACCATGTTTCAAGGACAAAGTGGAGAGGGAGAGAGAGAGGGAGGGAGGGGGGACAGAACGCACTCCCCTCCCAAGCACAATTGTATATTGGTCCTTTAGTAATTAGAATGCCAAGGGATGGAGAAAACTTACCCCAGAGTCGTCCTTCTTGGGGGCACTGAGTTTCTTGGGGAAGAGGACTAGTTTGCTCCTGTACTCCTTCAGTCTCTGAACATTCTGCTGCAGGGACTCCACGGACTTGTTTCTCCTCCTGTAGTCTACCGAGATACCGATGGTGCGGGCAAACTTCTTGTTCAGTCCTGCAGCCTGAGGGAGGAAAATTACAAAATATTAATTTGAGTTATTGAAAAGTCTTTCTTTTCACATATTTATAAAAAAATTCATTGATTATTTTCTATTAGTATACTTAATACTGACTTTATGTACAGATGGGGTAGAAAGATATATGTGCCTATCAAATCTAAGTCTACTCTTTATGATAAATAAATGAGGAATAAAACAGTGTTTTGGATGTTTGTTGCTGATGCTTTACATATTACAGCAACAAAACAATGCTTGTTATATAATAGTACTTGTTCTTTTCCAGTGCTTGTTAAAGAAACCTCAAATCTTTTGGGAAATCCTATGAGACTAGCAGACAATAACATCCAAAGCAATCTGCACCACATTGCTGCTTTTTCAAGGCTTCTATTTCTAGAACAGCCTTTATCATCCTTTTTCTTGAGTAGAATGTCCCTATAGGTAAGGTTTCACATGATCACTACACTACAACTACCCGAAAAAACAGAAACCCACACAAGTTAACTGAAAGCTGACTCACTCATGTACGGCCTCATGAGGTCTTATCTGAGTCAATGCGTAAATCTCAGGAACACATCAGTTGGAATGAAAAAAAAAAAAAAAAAGGAGGGGATAAGGGTGCATAGAGCCAAATCTAACCCAACATCTTTGTCATTGTAGTGTAGTAAGTGTATTTAACTGTTTGTCAGCCATTTTTCAGCGAGTTCATTAATAATACTGTCTCAGATAGCCAGCTAGTCTTGCTCATTTGTGCTACTTAAAGGGATAATAACTCTTCCTATGAAATCTGTATTTCACAATAAAAACATAGTGAATGACTTATAAAAATATAATATATTCTGTTTTCCCACAAAAACGGCTGTTATAGCTATTATTCTGATATCTTTAGACCACGTGACCTCCATTGATGGCTATACTCTGTTAAAATCTCTTAAGAGATTTTAACAAAAAACCAAACTTTTCAGAAAAAAAACAGGGACTAACTTTGAATGTAAAAATGGATTCATTAACCATTGGTAAGTATGGGAAAATTGTTGTTTACTCCAAGAAAATTCATTTTTTGGCCGAAACGAAGAGTTATTATCACTTTAAGTTAAAATCCTTTCAGGGACCAGTTTTACAAAAGAAAATGAGTTTAAAAACTGGTTTGAACTCTTGAGACCCAAATTCTACTCTGTGTAGACCCAAATTAATCATAGTAGTGAAATATTGTACCATTTGAATCCAAGAAAGAAACCGTAACTGCTACAGATCAATACTTACCTTAATTCAAGTGGGCTAATTTGAGTTGATCGTAAGTGAATTGGAGCAAATTTTGGTCCACAAATTCATAATCACTTTTTTTATTGGGGGAGGGGGGGGGTCATATTTCTTTTTGTGAAAGCCATACCCAGTTTAATGCCAACAATATTTTAAAAGCCTACCTTGAGCTCATCCAGGGTGAATCCTCTGCCCAGCCTGACCTTGGTGTTATACTTGAAGGTGGGGCACCTGATCACGGGCCTGAGGGGACCGGCCACAGGGCGGGGGGCGATCAGTCTGGCCTTCTTCACACGTCTACAATGTAAAACACGAGATACATCACACTGGGATACCTTGACACTTATAAAAACATTAACATGCAGGTGCATGATTTCAAAGCGGCACAACTCGTAGACCAGTAGATGAATCTTATTCTATTCACATCACTGTCATCAGCAGTAGGTGAGAAATAAGAGAAAACTTTGAAAGCCCTTGCATCTTGGGGATCACTAGCTGGTTGTCATTTCACAGTTACCTATATTGCACCTTAGCACACATATAAAATATCACAGGCTAGTAAAAGAAGAGCTAACACATGAAATTTGGTGACAACTTTAAATTGAAAAACTTTTCAATAGACTTATTGGTGCATGTGAATGGGAGGTGGCAGGATACTGCATGTGAGCCAGGTTTCTTCAAAATTTATATATCTTACCTGTCGTGTCTCCTCTTCTTACGAGCAGGCTGGTTGAACCACGTCTTCACACGGGTCTGCCAGTCTTTATGGAAGTGCCCATTGGGCACCATATTATTACGTTTCATCGGCATGATGGCCTAAAAGGAATTAAATTCAATTAGTTTATACCAAATGAACTTTTACGGGAGATACTGCAGATTTACCCTAAATTCTGCATTCGTCAAGAATAATTTTCAACTTGGTAAATGGTTAGTTTGTAAGACTTGAAAACTTGGTCAGACCCCCATTTCAATTACACAATAAATGTGAGGAAATTCCTACGGGTAAACTATAAGCAGAAAATTGCCAACAGATCTTCCCACTCATGTACACAAGACTAGCGTGAGGTTCACATCGTCCGATAACTAATTTCGAAATTAGTTTGGTAAAAACTTGAAGCTGAAGTTACTAGTGGATTAACTCATGATTATTACTTTGATGATATATTTCGTTGTATATACAAGAATATGGAAGATGGGTACGATTTAATTTTCACCTTTGCAACACAGACCTGATTTTGTTATGGCCGACCGGAAAAGGGCGAACAATGCATTCTGGGAGATGAATGTGCTTCCGGTAAGATGTCTGCGCCCAGGGGCGCGAGAATGAAATGTGAATTTTCATTACTTATGCGTTAATTTCGTCAATGGTAAGTAAATTTAATCAAAGACATGCAAAAGATAATTAGACAAAGTATTCCAACACCATAAAACAGGTTTTTATTGCTTAATTTCGTAAATTGATAGAATAAAACTGTTGTAAAACAAGTCGTGTTCTAGTCCATCTTCCACAAGTCTTCAGCTCTTTGAGATTATCAAGGATAACACCTCTGAGTATGCTGGCAAATGCAGGATTGTGCGCGTGCATGTTCGTGTGTGTGTATGACGGAGCAGAATACCTTACACTGAGGCAAGGGCAACTTAAATTATGTTTACTGGGAGCAGCGAATATTTTCAAAGCCAAAAGTACTAAAATTACATTATTAATGCAGTGCACTGCTAGAATTATAAATAAAATAATAATATTTATTTTGAGTCAAACGCAAACATTTGTTCAGTAGACTTTACTATAAAACGCAAAAGAAATATTATAAAGGCTAGTAAAAAAATTGATTAAAAGAGGAAAATTAAATAAAACAATGTAGAAATTGAAAGTGCTTTACAAATGCTATATTTAGTGCTATATAATATGACAAATTTAAAGAAAATCTGAATGACAATACCATAGCCTCTTCCTGCTTTTACACTTTTTAAAATTATTTTATTTTTAAGTTCATTAAACTTTAGAAGTATTTCGTATTCTTTCTTTTTTTTTTTCTTTTACCAACTGTCATCAAAATACATTGAGGTCTATGGCATTCATTGCAGCATGATGGGGATCTTAAAGGGAGCCACTCTCTGCTCTTGGAGCAGGCTAAGATATCTTCATCAGCAACACGGACTTTTGTTAGCAAGATCGATATTCAGTAAAACTGGAGAATGGGTAAGATCTGCTGTGGATGAAATAAGTATTCTTAATTATGAGCACACATCACAAATAGTTAGCAATATGTTCACAGACAGTGACTCATATATTGTCCAGTGGATGAAATTTAAAACCACACAAAATGATCTTTCATTATAGCACAATGAATTTAATGGACTGCTGTATTGTAAAGAAACCTGATCAAAAATGGATATATGTTTTAAATCAAGTTTCATAAAGCTGATTCTGATATGTGTTATTTTTAAAACATGCAAATTTATAATTTCTTTTACAGCCAAAAAAATTGGACAAAGAAGTAAGATTTGAAATAGAGGATCATTGGAAGGATAAAATCAGAGAATATGATTTGACCAGGACACAAAAAGATAATGCAGTAAGGATGAATTTCTTAGTAATTTCATTTTCCATGTAACTGTGTTTCTGGAAAAGGGAATATACAGGGCGGTTCTTAAAAACAAGCTATTTTTCTTTCCACCTCAATTTGAAATAGGTCATTTTTATGAACTACACTGTTTATACTGGATTTTCTTTGCCCCAGATCTTACTATTTTTTTAGATGGGCAAGAAAAAACAGCTTTTTTTTTTAAAACTAAAATGTTTTATGAAAACCTCATTTTTCTCCATTTTCATTCTCCTTTTCTCATTCTCATCACTTTTAGTCAGTCAGAAGGAAATAAGTAATTATGTTTCCCTCCCCTATTCCCTATTTTCATTTTCTTTTTGTATAATTCTCATCATTTGAGTCCTTGTGGCTTCCAGACAGAAGGAAATAAGAACTATGCGCTGTCCATGTTTTCCCACCCTATTCTCTTTTTTCATTATCTTTTTTTGTAATTTTCATTACTTGAGTCATTTTATTTGCTTCCAGTCAGAAAGAAATAAGTACTACGTGCTGTCCATGTTTCCCTATCCTAGTGGCAGCCTGCACATGGGCCACATCAGAGTATACACCATCAGTGATACCATCTCTAGATTCCAGAGAATGCTGGGAAAACAGGTGGGGCGAAAAAGGGGAATCCAGCAAAGACTTTTAAATAATATCATATTTTTTAAGAGTGCATACAAAACAGTAGGACTAACAGATCTGTGGATCAAATATGGCCAACTTACTTGAATGCCTGTTGCGTAATCCCTGGGGGGGAATCTATTCAGTGTCTTATCAGGAATAAGGCAGAAAGCTTTTTAGTGTGTTGCTGGGGTAGAGGTAGCAATTTTTTTCGCTGTCAATTTGTTATCCAAATGGTGTTAATTTGACTAAAATTGATCAAATTAAGTCCTTTTTGTTTAGCCAATTTAAGCCAATTTTAGCATTTGGCTAAATTGGCAAGTGTTAGCGCTACCCCAGAGTTGCCATATTTGATCTACAGATTAGTTAGTCTGCTGTTCTGGTTGCACTCTAACTCTGATCAAAGTGTAAGCATCATTGCTTTCAAGTCTGTGACATGGAACACAAATTAATGGCATCTGACAAGTAGACATATCTCTGAAATCTCTGAAATAAAAAAAAAAGGTTTTCAAATATTACTAGACTACACTTTGTCTTTTCTGAACAGTTCAAAGCTGCTGAAATCAGAAATAAATCATTTCAATACTTAACACTGTTGCAAAAAAGATTTAGGATCAAGTGGATGAAATTCCTAGCATACAGAATGCTAAAAGTTTCAGAATTTCACATAACATGACCCATACTTTATTTGATGTACCTTGAAGGTGATTCACCCTATGGGATGGGACGCATTTGGTCTACCAGCTGAGAATGCTGCAATTGACAGAGGTGAAATGCCAGAACAATGGACTAAAAGGTACAGGACATGTGTTATATTATAACTTAATGACTTTGTATGTAGTATTACATCTGACTAAAAAAAAATACTATTTTGTTATGATGATTACTGTTACTGTCTTAATGCTCTTCAATTTGTTTATTTCAGGAATATTGTAAATATGAAAAAACAGCTGGATGATATGGTTTATAGCTTTGACTGGGAAAGAGTAAGTAATAAACATTTGTCAAATTATAGACTGCTTCGCTCTTGCAACATATGCCTTGAAACCCTCTGACTGTTGCTGATGACATGTCCTGGCATGTCTGCCAAGTGACAGTGTTTAATCTCACATGCATTATGAAGGAAACGTAGGGTAACTAGTAGTATTGTATAAAAAAACAAAAAGTGAGTGTTATCTATTTTGAAAAATTGTGTTGATATTTCATGTTAAAATTTCAGGAATATGCCACCTGTGATCCAACATATTACAAATGGACACAATACATCTTCCTAAAGATGTATGAGGCAGGATTGGTCTACCAGAAAGAGGTCAGTTTTTACCCTCTACTCCCTGTCATTACTTGATGTTGACGGAGGTGGCTGTATCTGGCATAATGTGTCAGTTTAACTCAATGTGTACTTTTATCATCAAACGATGAAGTAAAGGCTTCTTACAAAAGTGCTTGAAAGAAGTTGATATTTCTGTCTTCTTTGTTCTCTATATTTTAACATCTCAGCAGGTTAACTGTGTTTGTGAAAAAGTGTTATTTTTTAGTTTTTTTTATTCCTCACATTTATGAATAAACCTGTGTCTGTTATTGAAATTTGCTTATTTGATTTTTTTCATTTGCATATTTCACATGTCAAATATTTACTGGCAGTGTTCACAATTTCATTAATTTCCTTTTTTTTGTGATTTATTTTTTATTGTTTATTTTCTATATTTCATATTCTTTATGTTGTAGGGATATGGTATTTATTTTGCTCTGGAAATCATAGCATCAAGCAGTGTTTCAAATTTTCTAGAATGAATTACAGCAATAGGAGAAATTTTTGTGTCAGAAAATGAAATAAGCTAATATTCACTGTGTTTCAATTGTCATCAGTCCAATGCCCGCACACGACGAGAACGTGTCAATTGAAACAGTTGCGCTAAGTCCCTAGACATAGCAAGCGACATCTCACGTTACTCCATCCACCCTGTGTACCTTTAATTTTTTATATACTTTGTATTTCATATTGTCTCTGTTCTAGGCCTATGTCAACTGGGACCCAGTGGATCAGACAGTCCTGGCAAACGAGCAGATAGACGAGGAGGGGAAATCATGGCGGTCCGGAGCTGTTGTCGAGAAAAAACTTCTCCGGCAGTGGTATTTCCAAACCACTAAGTATTCCAAGGTAGGGAGACTGATAATAATAATAATAATAATAATAATAATAATAATAATAATAATAATTTAAACTTTATTTAAAGAGGGTAAAACATGTATAGACTTAATTTACACATGGCTCTCTGAGGGGATAGAATAAAATATTGTGTAAATGAACAGAAGATATATGAATTAAATTAACATAGTAATGAAGTAAAATTGAATTGAATTGAATAGCTGATAGAATTGTTTTAAGGGTTAAAGATGCTACAACCACCTAATGCAATGATATTAGTGTCAGTCGTTGTAGAAATAGTAGAAAGTGCAATTTTTTTATTACTGGTTAACATGCTTCCTTATTTCGGAGCATTATGCCTATCTGATACGTACCTTTTGTGCCAAAATTTTTACTGTATCATAATCTGATAATAATCTGATATAATTAGTGAGTTCAGTGAAAAATGATTGAGGTCACTTATAGAGCCTGTGATATTTGCTGTATAACATTTTTCATTAAGTAGACATTAACTTTGCTCTTTTCATTCATTGCAGTCTTTAATAGAAGGTCTAGAGGAATTAGAGCCCAATTTATGGCGTGACGTAATCATACAGCAGCGGCACTGGATTGGGGAATGTAATGGTTGCCGACTGGAATTTAAGCTGAAGGTATGAATTAAATGAATGGCAAAGAAACAGATAATATATAAGATATCCTATTTATTAATATTTCTACAAAATAGCAGGGATTTGTAACATAACTAAGATTTAAGAGGTGTGCTGTAAGTTTATAGCTTGATGTCCCTGAAAAAAAAAAAGTTTAACCAATTTTACACCTGGTCTCTAAGGATCTGTTATTCCTGAGTTGTTCTCACCTGTCTGGGGAGCATACAGACAAAGAAAGTGAATATTAGCTTATTAGATAGTCCAAAGATCGATTTTTGTGCA